GCCCCGCCGCGGGCTACGGGCCTGGCCCTTCTTGCCGCCCCCTCGTTAGAGATGTTTTGGTTGAACGTAGTTGTGCCCATTTCCAGGGGCCGGGGGTCCGATGTGAAGTCTGCTACTTGTAGTTGGTAAGATCTTAGGCACCCACCACCACCACCACCACCTCCGGGGTTCCACTAGCCCCGCAGCGGGGGGATCCTGAGCCGAGAAGCGTGCGGGCAGGGGTTTGAGGGGCCCCAGATAGGAGCCGTGCAAAATGGAGGCGACTTCGGGACTTGTTTACACTGCGCAGCAAATGGCTGCTGGCGCTCCCGACTGCGCGATTGTGAAAATCTCCCCGGGGCGCAGGGCAGGCTGCTGAGATGACGCAATCCCGAGTCCAGCGGGAGGGGCGCCTCCGCGGGCCTCTCCCCCTAAGCGCGCCCTGCCGGTGGTGGACCCACAAAATGTTGCTGGCTTCTGAGAATGGGCTAGAATTTCCGATTTTTGCTACAGACTGCAAAATGGAAAGGGGGAAGCTGAAGTGGTCCGAGTGAGAAGTGGGAAGTAAAACTTGATGGGGAGGTAGGATTGGGTTAGTGAGACTTTGTCTTTGTCTTGAGATAACTCAAGGACGGAAGACAGCACTAAGTGGAATTTTGGGTTGGTAATCCAAGCATGGCCCAAGAAGGCCCCTTTAAGTAACCGCTTGTTTCTCCGATTTCAGGGTAGGGGGTGGGTGGAGCTTTTGAGCTGCCCTGACTGGCGGCTGTTGATTTTTGACCCCTTGACCGGTGTAAGCATGGGACTGGGGAGGGCGATCTCGGGTGGGCACCACTCGGGCTGGGACTCCGGAACGCCTTGGCCTTCAGCTTGGTCTGGCTGAAGCTCAGGGTCCTGCCAGTGAAGGCCACACCGCTAACCAGCCCGTTTTCCTCCAGTTCCAGGGTCTCCCTTAACTGCTGTAGTAACCTGGGTCCAGGGCCTCAGTGGTGCTCCTGATGTCCCTCACCCACCCCTGAAGATCCCAGGTGGGCGAGGGAATAGTCAGAGGGATCACAATCTTTCAGCTAATTTATTTTACTCCGTAAGTATCTGGCTCTCTGGGCTCTGTGACCTTGGGGTGGGGGTGGGGGGCTGGGCTGGGCTGGGCTGGCCTGGCCACGCCACACCTGCAGCCCTGCTTCTGAGCAGTGGAGAGTTCTTGTACACCTGCTGTGTGCTAGGACTCTAACTACACGATTTTATTGAATTCTCAGAATCTGAGGATCAGGGGACACACATAGGTGCAAGTTGCAGCCCAGGCCCTTTACTGAGCCAAAGTAGCCCTTGGTGAACTGTTTCGCCCCAGCCTGGGGCTCCCACCCTGACCCTGGTTCCAGCCACCTCCCCTAGAGGCCTGGGAAGCCCTGCATGCAGAAGACATCATTGCAGGGGGCTGGGTGACTGGTTGATTTGGTGCTTTTCTGGGTTTACCAAACTGTGGTATCGAGGAGGAAGATCGGCCACTCAGTCTGTGGGGGTTAATGTCTAAAGGTTTGAACTTGGTTCTTTCCTTTCACAGGATAATAGGCTGAATGTAACAGAGGAACTAACGTCTAATAACAAGACGAGAATTCTCAATGTCCAGACCAGGCTCACAGATGCCAAACACATCAACTGGAGAGCAGTGCTGAGCAGTAGCTGCCTCTACATCGAGATCCCAGGCGGAGCTCTGCCAGAGGGGAGCAAAGACAGGTGAGGGCCAGCCTGTTGTGTCCTCACTCCTAGGGGAGGAGGGAAACCAGAGTCCAGAGTCGGGCGGCCATCCCTGTTTTGAGTAGCGGTCTAGCAGTTTTCCGGAGATCTCCACAGGGGGCACGGCCATATTTACGGACATCTGGGGGTGCCCCTTAGGATTGATCCTGGCTTTGAGGGGATGGGATCAGGGATGCTCAACCTCCACACAGAATGACCCAGCCCCGGTGCCTCTAGGTCTATACCTGAAAGTTGTGCTCCCATCAATCAAGCCTTTTAAGAGAAGTGGAGGTGCAGGCTGGGCCCTTATGAGGGGCACATGAGGGTGGGCAGATTCTGACAGTTGCACTTCAGCTTTGCAGTTCTTCTCGAGTTTGCTGAGGAGCAGCTGCATGCTGACCATGTCTTCATTTGCTTCCACAAGAACCGTGATGACAGAGGTAGGTGACCACCATCACCAGCTGCTGTTGCAGGGATGAAAGGAGACCTGGGGTGGAGACCTGTGGCCTAAGGTCCTGTTGTCAGATCTTGGCCATGCTGTTCACGGGACCCTGCTGAGCTTCCTCTGCCTGTTTTTCCCCCCTGCCCGTTACTGCTGCAGCCCCTGGGAGGCTTCTGTTAGGGGCCATCTGTGAAGGTGGGCGGGCACAGAGCCCAGGGTGCTGGAGGCCAGCGGGCTCAGATGCAGTTTTCCTCCACAGCCGCTCTGCTCCGAACCTTCAGCTTTATGGGCTTTGAGATTGTGAGACCGGGGCATCCCCTTGTCCCCAAGAGACCCGACGCTTGCTTCATGGCCTACACATTTGAGAGAGAGTCTTCGGACGAGGACGAGTAGCAGCTGCACCACCTGCACCCTCACCTCTGCCACCACTGTCAGATCATCGCAGATCGTAGCCCCTTCATGTGTCTCGCTTTGTGCTGGTGGTGTGACCAACTGCTGCACTGGGGTGCAAATGCCAGGCCTGCTCCCCTCTTCTGGGTTTTGTCCGCATGTTGTAATTGTGCAAATAAATGCTCACTCCAAATTAGCGGTATATTTCTTGAAGTTTAATATTGTGTTTGTGATACTGAAGTATTTGCTTTAATTCTAAATAAAAGTTTATATTTTACTTTTTTATTGCTGGTTTAAGGTGATACAGATTATCCTTGTACTTCAAGCAGGAGTTTTCTTATTTGAAGTTTTGGAAACAGTTTTAGGTCTTAACTTGGAAAGATAGGTATTAATCTACCCTTCTATTGCTTTGAAAAAATCTGAATAAAAATTACGTCTAAGATCTGTCTGGGCTCAGTGGTGTTAAGTTGGCCTGGAGGGGCCTCAGTTTTCTGGTGTGGCCTGGGGCTGTTTGCAAGTGTGTGATGGATGCATTCTGAGCTGAGTAACTCCCTTGACAGAGGAAACAGGCCCAGGGTGGGAAGCCAATGTCTTAGTCTCTTGTCTGGCCACAACCAGGTTCTGTGGGATGTGTTGAGTGGCTCAGCTCCATGGCAGGTTTCAGGATCCTGGGGCCCTACTTTGCCGCCACCTCAGCAAGGCAGCTCTGGATGGCAATATGCCCTACCTCACCCACACCTTGGACCTTCAGGTCCCCTGTCCCGTGCCCTTCCCTGGGGTGACCAAGGCTGGAGGCTGGCTGGCTTCCACTTCCCTGAATGGCCTCACCTCTGCCTGAAGCTGGGGGGCCTGTGGGAGACTTAACCAGGGAGGTATGGATGTGTGTGGATGTGGGCCCCCCTCTAGCAACTGTGCAGACCCTGTGCAGCCCAGTTGCCCCTGGGGAGGGCCTCACAATGCCATGCTGGAATAGGAGCACTCCTGGGGGCGACTGGTCCTGCTGTGGAGGGGCGAGGTGGTGCTCAAGTCCCAAGATGGCAGCATCGTGGCGCCACCTGCTGGCTGCATCTGGGCATTGCCTGGAAATTCATATCCAGGCCTTGGCTGGGAAATAGGCTGCAAAGGGGCATCTTTGACAGGAGGAAAGGTGCTGGGAGACGGTGGGATGGGATACTCAGCTACCTGGGTGATGGAGCCAGTTTTCAAAGGTTTGGAGGTACAGAGCTGGTCATAGCTGGGGATTAGAAGCAGTCCCTCCAGGATCACCCTGTTCGGGGAGGAGGAGTAAGGAGGCATGACTGGAGGCCCAGGCAAGAGCAGTGGGACCCCTCGGGCTCCTGTGTCCATTTTCAGAGGCATAAACAGTTCCCATTCACTCCCTCAGGTCCCCCGATGGGTCTTGCAGGCCAGTTCATCAACCTGTGCTGGCGCTGGAAGGAGTGTCCGTGCTCTGCTGCTGTGGAGACCGGGATTATCAGACCCCAGCACTAGAAGGATACCCTGGCTTCTGCTGGATGGTGGGGGGAGGAGTTCCACACACATTGATGGACGGGGTGTCCACACCGGGAAGAGGGGCAGGTGGCCCTGGCATCAGAAAGTCTCGCTGGCCCTGGCCTTAGTCCTCAGCCCTGGAAGGGGACACCTGCCTTCTTGGGGTGGACGTGGGCCTAAATACCCAACAAAAGAAGGGGGCAGGCATTGGAGGGGTGCACTAGCCTTCTGGAAGGGGGCACCGACCCTCTTGAAGGCACTGCCACCAGCCCCAACCCTGGAAGGAGTGCTTACCTCGTGCAGAGGCCCTGGAACAGGCACTCACTCTCGGAGGGTCAGTCCCACAGCAGTGCCAGGGCGCGGCCCAGTGAGGGCTTCATGGCCTCTGCCAGGTATCCACAGCTCAGCTAGTCCTTCAGGTTCGGCTCCTCCGCACCAGTGGCCTGCTCCACTAGGTGCAGGACCAGCAGAGCATGGCACACCCGCAGCCAGGGCCCAGCAGTGCTCGGCGGCCACACAGCTCTGGCCAGGGTGGAGCAGTGCCTGGGATGCCAGGTGTTCCGGGTCCGCGGGGGCACAGGGCCGAGCAGACAGCCCAGCTGCAGTTCCTGGGCACCCAGAGCAGCAGGCACAGGGCCCTGGAGTCCGAGCAGTCCCGTGGCATCCCAGCAGCAGGTTTCCTGGCCGCAGCTCTGCTAGGAATGTGCCCAGGCCTCCAGGTGCTCCAGGGCTGTGCTCAGCTGCAGCAGCAGCAAGGCCAAGGCTTAGGCGAAGTCTGTGGGCCTCTGTGCTCCCATGGGACTGCTCTAGGGCACCTCTCGGGCAGTGCACCCTCAGACACCAGACCACAGAGCCTCTAGAGCAGCGGTTCTCAACCTGTGGGTCGCAACCGCTTTGAGGGTCGAACGACCCTTTCACAGGTATCGCCTAAGACCATCGGAAAACATATAATTATATATTGTTTTTTCTTTTTTTTTTTATTGCTTAAAGTATTACAAAGAGTATTAC